TTCCCTACATCCATATTACCCACACTTCATGGAATTTTCTTCCTATTAGCTGGATGAGAATTGAGGTGTTTGAAATGTAGCTCTAGGCCAAGGACTGTCCAAACCATTAATGGCGTGTGGTAATGGGCTAAACCTGTAAGTGGGAATAAAAAGAGCTGATTTGTTTCACTTGAGGAGTCCAAGTGTGTTGATCCCAAAGTTCAGCAGTTTTGTTGGGGTGAGCTGGAGGTGGCCAGGTGGTTTTGCTGTTTTTTAATAGCTTTTGTGCATACTGATAGGTTGCTTTACAACTGAACAGTAGGTATGAAAGCAGTGGCTTTTGCTTGATAGCTCAGAACCAAATTTGGAGCTAAGGAAAAGGGCATAGTTTGATGTGAAATGTACATGCAGGCTGTTGCTATGCTTGGATGAGATCGTCTTCCAGATACATGATTTAAACTAAAATTAGTAGTCAAAGGATATATACCAGGTAACTGCATCTCTGCTTTCCTTTTCAGGTGGCTATGGTAGAAGTTCAGCTAGATGCAGAGCATGACTACCCTCAAGGTCTCTTGATAGCCTTCAGTGCTTGCACAACTGTCCTTGTTGCAGTTCACCTGTTTGCACTCATGATAAGTACCTGCATTCTTCCCAACATAGAGGCTGTGAGCAACGTGCATAATCTCAACTCTGTCAAGGAGTCTCCTCACGAGCGGATGCATCGGCACATCGAGCTGGCCTGGGCATTTTCTACTGTCATTGGGACTTTGCTCTTTCTTGCAGAGGTGGTGCTACTGTGTTGGGTGAAGTTTCTTCCTTTGAAGAAGAAAGCTGATAATCCGCTCCAGAGCAACAATTCCACCATCACATCAGGACAGGCAGCAGCCATTGCATCAACCTCTATTATGGTTCCCTTTGGACTGATTTTCATTGTGTTTGCAGTCCACTTCTACAGGTCACTGGTGAGCCATAAAACAGACAGGCAGTTTCAAGAACTGAATGAACTTGCTGAATTTGCACGGCTCCAGGATCAGCTGGACCACAGAGGTGATACTGTCTCCTCTCCTGTTACCCATTTTGCCTAAACCTGTGCTTAAAGAAAATAAACCCACTATTCTGCTCTGCCTTATGTTGACTCCCCTGTGGATGAACTGGTTGAACTGTTGATTACTGTGTAAAGAGAGATTATATATGTTGTTCTAACCCTTCAGAGAGAAAAACAATACCTTGTTCCTTTCATAAAATGTTGGCTGACATGTGAAGGAATGGGTGCACATGCATCCCTCCTTTTGTGAGCACTGTCTAGATATAGCTTCTTTTTGATGCTGAATGGTGGCTGTATAAATACATGGAAAAAAAAACCATTGTAAATTTGGGTATTTGTTAGGGATAGAGAAGCTTTTTTTTTTCTTCTCTTTATTTGATGTTGGCATTTACTAGAAAATACTGCTTGTCCAATCCATATTGCATGGCGTGATACAAATTACTTGGGATATGCAGCAATTAGCACTTGGTTTTAGTGCTAGTGCTGTTCTCTCTAGAAAGCCTGACAGATGGTAGAAGTGAAAGCTTTCCCACCACTTTCCCCAGTATGTTTTGCTGCCAAGTAATAATTACTTTACTGATTTCTCCAGCACCTTTTTCCTGCGGCAGTTACACATTTTATAACTCACTAAACACCCAGGACTGGTCTTACTGCGATGTGGCATGGCCACATGAGTAGGAATGAAACTCTACTCTGTTCTTCTTTGGAAGAAAATAAAAGCAATAACTGTTGTAAAGGTCTCACAAGCTGGCACATATTATCTGGAGAGATAAGATTTGCCTTTTTCCCATTTAGGGATCTTTTTTTTTAAAAAAAGAAGGAAGTAGATGGAAATTACCATTGGATAATTTTTTAGCTTGAAAATCAGAATCACTGCTGTGTTTTTTTTCCAGCCAAAGTAGTAACTATTTTGTACTTTTATAAAATATATATATATATATTTTAATAAATCCTCAGATACAAGCAGCAAAAGGTGCTTTCTCTGCCTTGGATTCCCAAGTAATTATGCCTTGTATTCCTTGTTTAGAAAAAGTCTTTTCCTTGCTGAAGTGTTGTATTTAATACCTTGTTACACATTTTTTGCTTCAAAGTATCTGGAGGACTACTTTTCTCTACATACGTTTATTTATGAAAGTGAGCTATTTGTAATTAATATTGCTGCTTACTTTCAGACACACATTTGTGACACTGAGGCTACTGTGTTGTGTTTTTTTTTATTTCCTCTTTAAGGAGAGACTTCCATTTGGTCTCTTCAATAAGAGATTGTACAGGAAATATTGCAGCAGTTGTCCTGGGCTGCTTCAGTAATTCTGTCTGTGTCTAGAAGTGGAATGCTGTTCTTCTTTAGAGCAGCTTTGGGCTTTAATGGGTAAAAGCTGCATTTTTAACAGAAACTGATACAAGTTTCAAGTGTAATAGAAAGTAAGCTGAATTCCATGTTGTAGCTAATGATGTGGAATAGAAACCTGGGGGTTTGAAATGAGACAGGAGTGAATATAATACACTGGAGCTCTGACTGACTGAGTCTGGGCTGAACAGGGTCTCTGCCACCCAGCCTCTGTCTCCAGTTATCCTAACATATTTATGACCTGTGGGAAGCGTGTACAGAGTTGGGGTGGCAGAGTGGGGGGGGGGGGAGCAGCCTCCTGAAGCCAACAGGACAGATTTCTCCTGTCAGCACCATCTCAGTGGAAAGTACTGGTAAGGACACCCATGGTGTGTTTCTATTCTGGAAAATAACCACTAAAAAACCTGCTGAGCTGTTTTGATTTTTTGTGATTTTTTTTTTTTTTTCCAGCAGCATTTTTGGTTCACAAGCAGAAAACAGCTTTCCACTTGCTGTTTCCACATGTCCTGCTGGCAAACAGAGGCCAAACTGGATTTTCTCTGGCTCTGCCATTATATAATGCCTCAGTTACAGTCTATTACTAACCTATATCTGCTGATGGTGAGAGTTGTGGCTGCGTTCCCACAGGTGTTCATTGATGGTGCACTTAGTAAAGACATGAATGAAGCAGCATTCCAAAAAACATAGTAGTAGGTGCACCATTTTCCCATCCTTTACTGGAATATCAGTCCTGTCTTGGGGAAAACAAACAAAAAAAGACACTTAAAAAGCCTCAGCAAAGGAAGAAAAGCCAACTCAATGTTCATACTAGAGCAAATGGTTGAAAAGGTGCTGTCAGCTGTAAAAAGGATGCTTCTGTCTGCAAATTGTGTATATAAAAGTTAAAATGTTATTTTAAATGGAAGTCCAGAAAATATATTTTCTAAACTTATTTTGTAAAATTACTTCCTGTCTTGGCTAAGTAGCTGAATTTCTCTTTATCTGTGTGTCTTTTACAAAGTGCCAGAGAAGTGTGAGAGTTTTTATTTTAAGAAATACAAAATTGGAAGCCAGTGGGACAACCTTAACTTTCTCAGGCTGGTAGGTTCTGGGCTGATGGCGCTGTTATCACAGCTGCCTTTCTGATTATTGTCTGCACTTTAAGCCATGATATTGAGTGTTCCTCTCATTTTCCAACTGTGGAAGTGGTCATGAAAGTTACACCTTTGGCACAGTCTGTTAACTATGCCAGGGGCTGTAACCAGACCCAAGAATGTGGATCTAAATAATAAGAGTGCACTTAGAATTTGGTTTTTATCCCTTATTTATACTAATGGTATTCAGCATTTACCTCAAGCATTTTAAACATCAGTTATTGTATATCCCTTATTTGTATATAAAATAATTAAATAAAATAATACTCGATTGTTGCTGATTATTTGCTATCTAGGTGCCTAAAATGTGCTTGTTTTCTCTATACCCCTTACCTCTTCAGCTATTGTGCTAATCCTAACTGTGTTTCTGAGGATCTCTCACATGTATGTAGTTAAGACATTTCAGTTGTGAGAGGAAGATGGAATTTCCTGTTCACACAGGCAGGTATAAGGAGCAGAACTTCCTTGTCATGCTTTTCCTCCTGTCAGCACTGCTTAAATCTTGGGACTAAGCATGTTGTTTTGCTGTTGTTTTGAGTGCTTAAACAGAAAATCAAGTTATCTTTCAGCATAGGAATCATGAAGATTCAAGGGACCCAATTAGCTGTAAACAAAAGGTGTGATACTTGGAAGCAGAGTGTAAAAGGGGTGAACTGATCACCCACTCTCCCAGTTTGTTTTACATAGCCAGCTGCAGTGCCACCCTCCTTGGTCCTTGTATGGGGTGGAAGTGGAGCAGCCAGTTGGGTGCTGGGGATCTGGTGGGTGGGCTGGCTATGGAGCAGGGCTGGGGGACTTTCCTGCATTCCCAAGGGTTAGGGAGGAGATCATGCATCAGTGTGGAAAAGGCACCAAGATAGCAAGTATTAATTGAAATATAATCTGTTATAGCTTTAAAAGCCATCTTGGGTCAGGTATGTGTGGGGCTAAGTTTGGGGGAGAGTGGGAGGGGACAGTTAATTTGCTGTACTTTTCTAGGCTTTTTCTTTCAGAGCATATGATAGAACCCCTGCTTCTGCTCTGAGGCAATGTGCAAGGCCTTGAAATCAAGTGCCATTTGTGCACAGGAGGAGTAAGACAGAGGAACTGGGCCCAGGGTGTCTGTGCCTGTCCTTACAGCCTTTTTCTGCTTGTGGGGTTTTTTTCCTTTTTTTTTTTTTTCCCTTTTCTAAGATATTGAAGGGTGGGAAGAGGCCACTGAGCAAAGCCACCTGCAGAGTGAAGGATTCCTGAGCAGCCCTGAGGGAAAAGCAATGCAGATCACCACGCCAGGCCCCAATGTGGATTTGAGATTCAAATGAATGAGTAACCCAGGGTCATGCTCTTATCTCAAATCTTTCTTTTGTCTTCAGCATCTGGTTATTCACTTTGGCTGTCAGCAAACATCGCCTGGGCCTCTGCTAAAACACCATCTGGATCCACTAGTTCAATCTGAATAAAAAGAATACAAATCAGTTATGCAGTGGAACTGAAGAAGCTTAAGGTTTTTTTTAGATCTTGATTACTGGAGCATTAACAGAATCTCTCGTGTATCAGGACTTTACATTGCAGCCTTTCAGTGGCTGTTAGACACATTGCAACACCTCCCTAATTCTATCAGCACGTTGAACATCACTTAATCTCCTTGAAATAGCTCTGTGTGGGGTGGACTGATTCTCCTTTAACAAAACACTTTCTTGGGCTTTGATTTGTAGCCTCTTGGGTCTCCTGAATCTTTTCCAAAGGTGAGTAATTGCATCACCCAAGTGAGCATCAGAGGTCCCATGAAAGGAGGAATCTGGAGTCATGTAACCTGCATGTGACTAGATGCAGATTCTTGAGAGGGAAGTCCCAAAGCCCTGCCAGGACCTTGTCATCTCACTGTCCTGCTTTATGTCCTGGTGTTTTCTGGGGGCTTCACGTGTGTGTGATGTTGTCTGAGGCAGAAACAATATAGTACTTTTATTATTTTGTTAAGCTTTCTGCAGCCTTTGCTTCAATAACTGCAACAGCAAATATGCCAAGTCCATGTTGTCTTTCTGTATCTCTACAGTTACATTTAAATTCTGCCTTGATACAACCCCATCACCTATATACTGATTCCCTTCAAAGCTTGTGACACTGCTGTCTAGTTCTCAGCCATTTTCTGTCCTGTGCATCCCCACTGTCTGTTCCTTTTACCTGCTAATGAAGACAGGGGTGTTTCTCCCATGCAGAAGCTCAGATCCTCACTGTTCACCTCTCGTGAGGCACAAGCTGACTGTTAAGTTAATCTCTGGTTTTGGCAGGTTCTAACATTCACCCTACATCTGCTGTTCTCTGTCAGCTGCCTGTGACAGTAATTTGGCAAAAAGCTTATGAAAATCTGAAGTAATTTTTTCTCCTTTTATCTGTTGCTTCCTTCACATTCTGAGATCAATAAATCTCTTCCAATGGAAAGCACAGTGAGGGCAGGGAAAGTTGATGCTTTGTTTTTGCTCACAGAGCAGAAGAAAATTGGGTCATAACTTGGTCTTCAGGGAGTTAAGCAAACAGCCAGGCTTGAACATCCTGCTGCAGTGAAATGGATATTTATCCCAAGGCTGGGTTGTTCAAAGAGGCTGTTCTCAAGGCCATTCTCAGCTGACCTTTGACAAACCTTGTAAGGTAAATATTTTTAGCTACAGAAGTACTGCTTCTTTCACTCTTTTTGCACAATTGAGATTGTTTTCCCCTGGTGAGTATTTGGTGTTTATTATTCTGCAGGGCCGTGGGTGTGCCTAGTACTTAGGGGATTAACTGGCTGTCAAAAATGCTTGTGCCTTAATGGCCCTTGCTATAGAAACCAGATTTAAAAAATAAGGGAATCAAAGATCTAACAGCTGTGAGCCTCGGTAGCTGCATCTGCCCAGTATCATTTGCAACAACCTTGTCCCTGGAGCAGAGAAGGAAGGCAGGCAGCTCCATCTGCCACGGGGCTGTGCTGTTCTCTGTGTTACTAGTGTAAAGCAGTGAGCTGAGGTTATCCAGTGTGGTTCTGCTTGGCTCTAAGCAAAGAGGAGCTTCCCCACCTGTATCCTGCAGGAACCTTCCCTTGGGAATGCAGTGTCTTTGTTTTTACATGTGTGTGGCATGCAGACCGTGGGGGTTCAAGCTGAGACTGTTGGCCAGCTGTGTCTCCTGGAGCCACACCTGTTCCCCACTGATCCCTGTTCCTTGACCACCTCCAAGGACATGAAGTGGGGGACAGGCTCTCCCATCCTCTGGCTCCTTCGCCAAAGTGATGTGCAAGGACCTGGTGTCTGCCAGGCTGGCAGACCAGGGTGCCTCATTGTACATCTTGTCCAGTCTTTGGGAGGGAGACAGGGACTGGCTCTTCCTCTGCAGCCTCTGTCAGCCTTAATGGAAAAGGGGAGCAGAGCTCTTCAGCTCTCAGCCTGCTCACCTCGGGGAAGCTACATGCACCCCTCTGCCCACAGGGCTGCTGGGTGAGACCCTGACAGGGTGCCTGGGTGAAGGAAATGGCTGCTGGGAGCACTGCAGCAGCTGGGTTCAGCAAGGCCTGGTCAGCTTTAGCAGTTTGGTTTGGCAAAATCATTTGGCTTTGACGCAAATCCCACTATTGTCTCTGTTTCTATTGTCCCTGTTTCCTTTGTGCTGCTTCAGGTCTCTAAGCAGTTTTGGTGCATGAGAACTGCACTTTTTCAGATGTGGGTGATCAGGAGGTGCCAGCAGTGGCTGGATGGGCTGTTTGTCCCAAAGGGGTTGTTTAGGACACTGCTGGCCAAAAGACTCTGAGCACACACCCCATGAGCTGGGAACACCATGGGGGTAAACACTCAAAGAGTGAAATGCCACCTGGAGAGCTTCCCTGAGCACTAATGAACACAAACATCCCCAGCAAAACTGAAATTTCCCACCAATTACCTTTGGAATTGGATACTGGGTAGGGGCAGGAGCTCTATCTCTGCCAAAGTCGATCATAGTTCCACATTTTGGTATATCTGCTGCCCAGATACCTTCAAACATCTGTCCACTATCCAAGTAGAAGAATTTCCCTGGGCCATGTTTCTTTCCATCTTTCCAACCTCCTTCATACCGATTTTCATTTGCTGCAATAAAATACATGAAGAGACCATGAAATTTGCACTGTTTCATTCAGGGACTACAATCAAAACCAACCAACACATCAAATAGAAGAGGAAATAATCTGTTTGACTCTTCTTGGCAATTTTGAGAGGGCTGAGGCATGCAGTGCTCCATTTGCTGTGCCACAGAGGATAAAAGGCTGTGGATGGAGCCCACGTTTGCCCACTTGGAACAAGAACTGTGTTCACCCGCTTTGTTCTTCTCCCAGTGACATTCATGTTCTGCTGATTTGCGGAATGAGTGATCTCAGGGTCAGACTAGTTGCTGAGTCACTCTTCACAGCATGAAAAATTATAGGGCACAAGTTTTGGATTTGTCACCGCAACAAATCACACAGGAACTCTGGCTTGAAGAGGTTTGCTTGGCTGGGCAAGGAACCACAGCACTGACTGATCCTTGTCCAGTCAAAATAATCTTGATTTCAATAATACTTGTAGTTTTTCCTCAATGAATTACAGAGCAGGAATTGCTGTGAGTGTCTGAATGGCCCAGGCAATCAGCAACAGACTGTTTTTCCAGCTGCATTGTGTCTCTTGGTGTTTTTCTGCAAGTTGAGAGAGGATTTTTCAAGTTCTGTTCTGCTTTCCAGGAATTCATCCACACGTCACAAACAGGGAAAGCTGAGCTGCAAAGGGAAGAGAGCAGCCTCCTCCGGGGATGCTGGTTGAGAAGGGGCATTATACCCACCATGATCTTGGCGCTAGGATACACCTGGGCCACCCTACTCTCACTAGGATAGTCCTCTGCTGTCCCCTTGGCCCCAGTACAGTGTTTCTAAGCAAAAAAAACACAGGGATTTCCTACCAAGTTACTTAGGGGAAATATCTTTGGGCCTCAGCTGAACTCTGCCTTTTTGGGGCAGGAGGTGGCTGAAATACCAGAACACCCATCATGCAGAGGGAGCCAGGGTTTGCCAGAATGCTGTAAGGCAAGGGGGGAAAACCAAAAATAAGTCTGAGGAGCATGACTGCTGGGCTTTTCAGGCACGGTCTGGTTTATAGTTCAGAGCTGTGGCAGTGGTTCTCCTCGGCTTCCATCTAGTGGTGTGCTCATCTGCAACCTGCCCTGCCCATGGGTGGGAGCAGCTCAGCTTCTGCTCCCCATCCACCAACAACTCAGAAACCACCAAGCTCACAGAGCCAGTGGTGATGAGGGGCCATGAAATACGCTGGCTGCACCACAGCACCTAGCTGCTCCCAGCTGCTCTCCTCCCAGAGCACCTGGGAGGCTGTGTTGCTCACAACCAGGATCTCCTTGGACATGCAGAGTTCCCATTCTGCAGCCGGGGCAGCGGAGCCCCGCGGCGCTCCCACCACAGCACCTAGCTGCTCCCAGCTGCTCTCCTCCCAGAGCACCTGGGAGGCTGTGTTGCTCACAACCAGGATCTCCTTGGACATGCAGAGTTCCCATTCTGCAGCCGGGGCAGCGGAGCCGCGCGGCGCTCCCAGCCAAGCCCGCCCTGGCCGGGCGCGCTGCCACTACAAGCAATTTAATCTTGAGCTGCAGCTCATCGTGACCTCCACTGAAGAGCTCCTTTTCTTCCTCCATGGCAAAGCTGCCGGCACGTGGGCACACTTCCAGAGCCTGAGCTGAATACATTCAGGTTGTGGGTATGAAATAATTGTTCGTGCTAATTTTAACCACAGAAACCCAGCTTGCAATGGGTTGCAGGCTATGCTGGAGGCAACCAGGCTGTGAAATAGCCACATCAGCTGCAGCTGCAGCCCCCCTGAGGGACTGCCCGGTTATGATGCCAAGGGTGATCCCATCAGGACTCTGATGGGAGTGAAGCAGATCAGTGGAAGGAGTTATGCCTGGAAGCGGGTGCTGATTTCATCTGGATGAGCCATCAGTCCAAAGTGACTTTACAGTCATCAGGGAGAGCACAGTCATGCATGTGATGTGTAGTGAAGGTCATGCTCATTCCTGCCAGCTGCTTTGCTTAGCTAATTACTAGCCTTGAGATCACTTTCAAGCAAACAAATTAGAATAGATTCATAACAATATGGAGATAGTATTTCTTCAGACACTCCTGGAACACACTGCCATGTACTGCAAAGGACTGGGATTCTTGGCTTTGGGGGAAAATGTATTTACCTCCAAGCAAGGAAGGAAGGAAAATATCCCAAATTTCTGGTTTTATGATGAGATTTCCTCCAACATTCCCAATCCTTAATGTGCTCAGTGTTATTTCTGGGAAGAGATCATGTATTTATGAAACCCATGTTCACTTAATGTGAGCCAGTGTCGGAAGTAATAGAGGGGATGGAGTGATCTCAAAAAGAAAACTTCTCTCCCTTTTTTTTCTGTGCTGGAAACTGGACTCCTCTTTGGCATGCAGCAGCTAGAAAGTATATCTGGCAAAGTGCCTGGTCTGAAAAGAGACATTTGCTCTTCTCTGACCCAACAATATATTATCTCAACCCCTAACCATCCCAGTCACTTAAATGCAAATCAAAACAAAAAATAAGCTTTCACTGGTGTGGGCTTGAGCAGTGCAATGCCAGCCCTTGCACAGGCTGTGCTGCCTCCAGCCACAAGGCACAAGGGGAGGGACAGCACAGAGGAGCAGCCACAACCCTGACTCAAGGCTGCAGCTGGTGATGTGGCATCCAGCAATATGGACAGCAGAGGCATCTGGAGAGCAGCACAACATAAAAGACCTTGAACAGGGCTAGCAGATATGGTGGACAAGGATGGCTGGTACTTACACAGCCGCAGCATCCCCTGCCCGTTGTGTTGGTCCCACTGCCACTGTCCCTCGTAGATGGACCTGTCCTGGTAGTACATCCGTCCCCAGCCGCTCCGCTGCCCATTGCTCCAGTCGCCCTCGTAGCGCTCCCCACTGGGGTAGAACATCATCCCACAGCCCTGGAGGGCAGCACAGAGATGGCTGGTTAGGAGCCTCTATTGAAAGGGGGTTGTGTCCAATATTGAGCTGTTAGCTTCTTGATGGGTTGCTCCTTTGCTTAGCACTCTTACATATGGCTGCTGGAGGCCCAGCTCAGTGGCCAATCATGTGTTGAAAGAGAAGGGAGGCGATGGTATGGTTGTGGGTTTTTTTAATTTTTATTTTATTCCCACAATAAAACCTCAGGCTTCTATCTCAGTGTGTTATCATTGGCAGGATCACTGCTAATATTTAGCTAAAAGCAGGTTTTACTAGTGTATACACAGCATAAACAAGACCTGTCTCACACCAGGGGGATTTCATGCCTTTCAACCCTGAGCATACTTCCTACAGCACAGTCCTTTGCCCCTGAGCAGACAAAAGGTCTCTAAGTGATGATGACTATGGAAACAGTTTTGCCTTCTCCATCCAGAGCCCCAAAGACATAATGTCCTAAACAGACCCTTGATGTGCTTCCTTCCTCCTTCAGGAGAAGCTCAAGGCAGCCCTGAAGGCTACCTGTGGTGAGATGGGCAGGCACAGCGATGCCACGCGTGCCTCTCCACAGCCGGGCGCTGGGCCAGGCAGCTCTGACCTTGAGCAGTCTCTGCTCTTTGCTTTCACTCCTCAGGCTCAGTGCTGCTGGCCAGTTTGGTTGGTGAACTTCTGAATTAAGACCTCTGGGTGTGTGCAAGCTGGGGGCTCAAGGACGTGTTTGTCTTATGTGTTTTTTTCCATTAAGATAAATTAGGTATCCCCTATACCAGGGAGTGACACCGGTAAGAAACATTTGCATATTACTAATGAGTTTTCCCATAGGAATAAAGCTTTAACCTACCTCTGAACAAAAATAAAATCAGTTTTAGAAATTACTAATTTTTCCTAGCATGAGTTTTATTAAACGGCATGGATGTAAAAAGGAGGCTTTTTTAAGAAGAAAAAGCAGTCCTAGTGATATTTGGATGACATCTTTCACTAAAGCTCAATCATCCAAAATATGTCCTCCAAGAATGGGAGGAGAAGCTCCCTCCAAGAGACTGAAGCCATGGAGCTGCACACCAATTAGAAACATAAGAGGCTATTAATTTAATTTAAGAGCTGACACAAAGGTAAACACAGGGTTTCCACTAGCAGATCAGAAAACATTCCTGCAAGTATTTTGCTCACACAATTGCAGTCATTTTTACCAGATGCTTTCCTCATTATGTTTCCTTTAGAAAAAACAGTGATTTATGTGACAGGCTTAATTTCCAAAAGAACTCATGTTATTTGTTTAATATGCTGTTAAACTCCCAGAAGAAGGCACATTTTCCTGCAGTGCTTATAGTACAGGTTCCTCTGACTGCCCCTTCAAGGATGAGAGGAACGAAAGGGATGGGTGGGGAGGATTAAGACATGGGATACAAAACCTCTGGGATTTCTTCAGGTTTAAATTAAGATTTAAAAAGAGCCCAAGCCTGGAGGAAGATTTGTTCCTATAGCCTCTTTCTGGAGTCACACTGCTGCTTCCCTGTGGCCAGCAGTGGGACACAGTGCAACTCTTGCTGCATCTGGAATGGAGAGGTGAGTTAACACCAAGAGCTGTGAGGTTAAGGAGGACAGGGGTTGAGGGCTTAAGTACCAGAGCTCTTGCTGTTGCTTTCATTTTCTTGTTCCACTTATTAGTTCCCCCAAAGTCCTTCAATTCAGCCTTGGCATTTGAAAAATCATTGTGCTTTAAGTGATCTTTTTGCATGGGTGCACTCAGCTCTTCCCTGTGGTTGGGGGAATGCTGCCTCACCACTGGCAGGTGCAGGAAATCTCACTTACACATTTTTTGTCATTTTTCCACCAGCCTGCATACACCTTCCTGTATTCCTTGGTTTCGGGGTCAGGAACGCTGTATGAGCCATAACCATCCCGCTTCCCAAACTTCCAGTCTCCGCTATAAATAGCGCCATTGCTTTTCCATACCTGGATGCCTTTACCTGTTTAACAAACAAGAGGAATGACCATCATGGTTGTGAGGAGGAGGATTTACAGGGCTGCTTTCCTACAGCTCCATCCTGGGCGAGGCAGCACAGCCAGCACTGAGCCAGGTTTATGTCTGGGATTCAGTTTAGCTTCCCAAGTTGGATACAGTGTTTATCTTGATCAGGAGCTTCCTGGGTGGCCTGTGCTGAATGCATTTAAATCTTTCCAAATTTTGGTTTACTGCTTGTAAACAAGCCTGTCCTGCTTTTGCTGCTCAGTTCTTGGTCAGGTTCTCCTTCCCCTGCTCTGTCTCCTGCAGACCCACCATGATTTGAGAATAAATTAATAATCCTGAAGACAAAAGTCAGGAGCAGAGAGAGCAGCCAGGGCACATCCCAGTGCATGGAGCTGACTGCAGTTTGCAAAGGATTTTTAAACATATTATCTAGGTATTTTGGGAAATTGCCCCTGAGTGCATGCAAGTGCTCTTCAAGTTACCTATCAGGAATATTTCTGAGTACATTTTTGCATTACATCTATCATCTATCATCTATGTGTGTGTGAATACATATATATAGTCTTACATGAATGAAAGGTCTTACAGGAGCATATACAACCACTGACTGCTCTAGGGCATTTTATAAAGACATGTACTTTTCTCAAAATGGTCTATCTTACCATGTTTCAAGTTGTTCAGCCATTCTCCAGTGTATTTATCCCCATTTACAGCATAGACCGTGTGTCTTAATCCACATTTCTGTGCTTTCCTGTCCCATTCATGCCAGATAGGCTCTTTAGCCCTGGGCTGTTTTAAAAAGGGCATGTTGTTCCTGGCTGAAGAGGAAAACAAACAATTGTCAGCAATAAATTATAGAGAAATTACAAGGCAGGTATGGGCAGAACAGCCTATTTGTGAGCTATGTTTTAATATGCACCTGAGTCAGTAATTGATGTCTGGCTTCGGAGAGGTTAAATAGAGATAGTACAAACAGAAGGTATCTAAAAATACTGAAGTACAAACCAGTGATATCTGAAAATAGGCTCACAGAACAGCCTGGCCTGTTGGGAAATGTTAAATAAGCCTCAGGAGATTGGGTGTGTGGTGGGAATCACACTCTGCTCCTGCTGGAGGTCTTGGGGAGCACAGGGAAAGGCACCGCTTCTCCGTACAGCCCAAACCTTGCTGGGCTCCTTCCCATGGAGGGGAAGGATCAGTGTGGGAGAAGAAGCGGTTTTGGCCCATCAATACAGAGAGGACAATAGTGGAGCGCAGCACAGCGGCGATTTCTGGGCATTGCTTGCTGTTCCACACAGCGGGAATGCCGGCACGGGCTTGGAGGTGCGAATGGACTCCTACAAACCATAAATGCCAAGAGGCGGCTGTAGAAACAAAAAACAAGTTTGTACAAATAGCGTTAACATCTAGAACTCGGCTGGAGCCCAGCGGGGTGGGATGCTCTCCGATTTTGTCTCCTGGGCTCCCCCTTCTGTCCTGATTCGCTGCACTCAGCCTTATCTAGTGGTTTTTCTGCATCTCTCCCTTT